ATTATGCGATATTATCCAAAATCGTTTGATGCCGGCTCAGTGGCCTAAAGGAGATCAAGCGTTCTCGCGTTTCTAATAGTGGCCTAACAATGACTTAAGATTTCAATGGGAAACAACAATCTCCATAACTGTATAATGAGAAATTGAGATTGTGGAGCATTGGTTAATGTATCACGTGTTTAAAGGTATCATATCAAAGAAAACAAATATTCTGGATTGTGTACTGTGTAAAGTAGTGTGTTTCATTGAGAAGTAGCGGATAGTAACCGAAAAGCTATTCGATGCTTCCTGTTTCTTATGAATTCTTCAAGCAGCCTCGATCTTTGAAAACATCAAGTTAATTATTTATTCTCAGTGAACTGTAAGCAAACTTCCAGTTTAACCTCACTGTAAGTAGACGTAGAATTTTAAGCTATAAAATAATTTGTTTCGTTGTATTAATAAAAATTGATTGGAACAGACTTTATTTTCAACTAGTTCGATTCTACTGAAATCGTGAATCAGTCACTGTCAAACCACCACTTGAAATCTAGAAAGAACTGGACTGCATATTCGTTCCTGAATGCGACTCACCAGCTGTAGGCATCCACGATATATGCACACAGAGATCAAACTCTCTCTCCATTCTTATATGCGAACGCTTAACCGTTAGACCAGTGAGCCCAGATGTAACATTGTCAATGTCTAACTTCAACCAATCCAGGATATTGAGCGGCCTCATCAATCATCTTCGTTGTGTAACTGCCTTATACTCGACGCGGTTGGACTCCAATGGTTATAGTTTCTCACTAGAGCCCCAAGAATTTTCTCGTGATGCTAGTCATTCATGAGCACATGGTAATTTTTTATTGTTTCATTAAAATTCGACTGTCTCCACAACCCCATAATACAGAATAATTTGATTCTTTATATTTTAGCTTATTATGGTTTGTTTTGTGTTTAAAGATTTTTTCTTGCAAATGTATAATTTAAAGATTCATTTAACAAGTTTCTCACTTGCTAACTTTAGCTCCATACAAATTTTATTCTTTGTAAAGCAAAATTTGCTTCAGCCATATGGTTATTGAATCATTATTTGACTGCGCAAAATTGTACTGATGTCACCAAGTGCAAAGAATAAACACCACTCATTCCAATACTTATTTTCATGTATATGTCATCAGGTTGTTTGTAGACTAATTTATCCTACTGACCAATGTGTTAAATGATGCTTGAATATGCAGTGCAAGCTGCAGAATAAGAAAAATGAATTATGAAACCTTGTCTAATTAAGTTTAAAACTGTGAATGTTACATAGTTAATAGTGAATTACGTAAAATGAAACTACTTTTTGACTACTAAATCTATCTTGCAAGTATTCTGTTACTACTTTAAAATCTTTTACACAATGTAGTCATCAATCAATCATTGTTAGACCATCATTAGAATCCTAGAAGCACTGGAAGCTTGTTTCGTACTGGTATGGGACTCATCAGCTGTGAGTATCCGCGAATCCTGCTACTCACAGGATCCAAACCCAGGACCTCCGGTCTTGCTCGCGAACATCTAAACTCTGGACACCTAACCAGGACATAACGGCCGTCCAGTGCTTCCAGGTTACTAATGGTGTTCTAACAATGATTGACTGATGATTACAAAGAGCAAAATCGATTATCTCTATAACTCTGAAAAAAACTATAGCATATTTCCCGAGAACATATTTGTGACGAAATAAATGTACCCTAGTCTAGAATAATTACTATGAGTTATCTATGAAGATGAAATGGAGAGCACTAGTTAACCCTGGCAGTTAAAATTTTTGCTTGATAAGCGACTGACTAATGAAGACACTTGTTCTACAAACATATTTACATTATAAAATAGATTTCATTATGAGTATATTTTTTTATCAAATATTTTCAGTAACCAGTGTTTTGTCCAAAACGAGTTTTCACTGCTGTTTATTGCATTATTTTTAGTATTCATTCATTGAATATCGATACAAAAATGTTTGTGAGTAATAGTTACTTGTCCATATTTTATATCTATTCATACTGGTCATGATCCAGTCTTAACCAAATTGTCATAGATTATACTCAGCTATAACAAACATATATGTTGTTTATTTACTTTACATCAAAATTTATTATGAATAAAATAGTCATTTATCAAACAATAAAAAAAAGTTTGAATTTCGTAAAACACTCATCAAATCTTAGAATCATGTTAGGGTGCTTTCAACCATTCTAATGTTAACATAACCAAGTTATATACTGATTGCAAGTGGAACAAGAAGTTTTGTGGTATGACTGAATTTTTTTTCACTTGTCACATCATACAATACACGCATACGTATAAAATGTTTCGAAGTTGCAATGCACTTGAAAAGACGATAACTAGGATATTCATTTACCACTGTATTGATTATTAGTGGACGTTTTAATGATACGTGATCAGATAACTAAATGAATTTAGTGGGAAATCTGGAAATCATTATGAACTAGATCGGAAGAGACAGATGTTTCATCTTAATTCATTGCCTCTTCAAACAAGTTCACCGACGACTCTATAAGGCATTGGATTTTGAAATGTAAGGCATCATACACAAATCAAAGTAATAAAACAACGATTAACAATAAACACATACGTTATTGTTTTTGACAATGACACGGATAAAATCAATAACTCCTTGCTAAAAATACAATGAAAAAGTCAATAACATTTATATACTTAAAGGAATGTTATCAGTTATGATGATATTAACAAACGCTGTAAGTAACAGTGTTTGGTAATTCCCGTCTTGATTTATGTCACTTTGAAGGATACCTTTTTTTGATTGTTGCTTTTTCACTTCACTTTCCGCCTTGGTATTTACAAAATGGTTTTATCACCAATACACAGAACTATATACAAACGTGTATAGTTATATATACATATATATTACTGCACATACGTTAAAGCAAAGTGTCATAAAAAGCTAACTTCTTACTTTATTTTTACAAAAATATGTTCCCATTAGGGATAATCCACTAGTGATATAATATATACATGCAATGACATTATCTTCGACCTCGTTAAAAGCAACAAGTTTGCCTTTATAAGTAAGTTTTAATGCTTTGTGTCCCTGATTGATTTTTGTTTCATGTTGAAAAGGATTAGCGGAACAAGATGGACATTGAGTCAGATAAGCATATAATCATTTAGCGACTGATGAATATTAGCTTACAGATCAATCGGCTTCATAAAAAATCATTATTGTTATCCGACTAATTATTTTACTGATCGTAAGTGATATTTCTAATGTATAATTAGTGGAAGCTTTTGCGAACTAACTTCGGGCAAAAAAATCTATTCACTTAATTGATTGTATTTATCATATTTCACTTCATTTCAGTTGTTTTATACTTCGCTATGAACAATATGAACAAATACAACATTTTTGAGGCTATTTTTGTACTAGACAAAGTGCAGCTGAAAAATCATTTTGCGTCAAGAAGTAATGAACAGAATATTTATCTGAAGTGAGTTTTATTACTTTGTATTGTGTGTGTGTGTGTGTGTGTGTGTGTGTGTGTGTACAGAGGACCACACAGAAGATCAAGAGAATAAACCAGTTTGTTCATTGATAGTTATATAAATAATTCTGTGGACTGTTGATTCAATGCAACGGTAAACTAAAATCCAGAATTAATGATCGGTGATGGGCATTAATGAAAATAAAATTAGTTATTTTATACAATCATAATTAACATAATTTCTAAATGCATCAGTTAATACATGTGCTTACTACTTACTTACTTACTACTGATTAGACGAATCCAAACTGATTCATTCATTCATAATCGGATTAATACCAGAACCGTCTATTAGTCTACTTGTAGTTGAAGGTGTGGTGCACGCTACTTATAAGTAGTATATGACTCGAGTAAAAACGTCATGTCTGGCAGCAGAAGATGGGCGAAGATCCAGAAAGGAAGAGCGGGAACACAATGAGATTTGTATGAAACTCATGAACAGTGAAATGTCAGACGATGGATTGATGCTTGCAACAGGAACAGTCCAGTTCGATATGATGGATTGATATTTTGCGAATTAACGTTTTACGATATGCTTTTCCTATTTTACCAATAACTCTGTAATATGAGACAAATACAATTCGGTTGCCCTCACCTGTGTTCTCCTTCACTACAAAAGTAATAAATATCCATACAAGATTTTATAAAGATAAAAAAAATTTTAGTGACGTCTAATAACGTAGAAGAACGAAAATTTTATTCTTCTCTCTAGACTTCAAAATTATAGTCTACAAGTGTAATTACCAGCAAAAAATTTACTGACGAAATTACGAAAATTATTCTGTCAAGGTTTATTAGAGTAAAATTTCTCATACTTTCACTGAAATAGAAAACATTAGATGTTGTTGTTTTCTTTTATTGTGCAAATGTATTCAGACATTGCGTTTATTGTTGAGTTCACTAAAATAAAAGTAATCGAAACAAATTTTGCTTGAGGCTGTTTTTCAAAGTTCTATCAAATCTTTGTTTAATCGCTTATCATCACATTTTACTGCATAAATAAAAGTTTTTATTGCTTGAAATATTGAATTAAACTAAAGAAAAATTTATAATAGTTCACAGTTACTTTTGGTGATTCCCGTTAACGTGGTTTCATGTGAACAAGTTTGAACTCAGAGTAAAATAATGATTTTCACAGTTTTCATATTCAATGATTTTATCTTGACTATATGCTATTTAATGTGGAAAAATGAACCGATTATGAGATCATTATTACTGATGACCAAATTTGTATCCTATTGGAGAGAAAAAAAGACTTATTGTCTTAAACAACTGAATACTGATTCTCTCTCTCGCTCTCTTTACAACCAAACATGTCACAGAAACATAAATAACATAATTCACTTTTCATCGTGTGCTTTATGGCCAATTATTAGTTGAATTTCAAGTCCACCAATCAGAATGAGGTATTTCTCATTCTTTTTTTTTCTAAAAAAAAAACTAACCCTACTTTAGGCTTACTGGTTAAATAATGAAAACTAATTTTAAATCACAAAAATAAGTTGTGTTTGATACTGTGGACTAGAGAAATGTATAACAAACAGGATTCTAAAGCACTAGTTTCCATTTAAACGTAAACTGTTAAAAAAAAAAGAAACATAAAATCGATAAACTGAATCCAAACTGTTCATAATCTACTTTCAAAAACTATTACAATCCGATGAAAAACGCATTTTCAATGTATAAGGACTATCTATATACTGTATCGAGTGATACATCATATTTTTAAATGCATATCATATCAGATAAATAGCATTAATTTTAACAATCGTAACAGTTGCATCAACAAGCGTATTAATTTTGTTCAATGTTGCCAGTTGTGTAAAAAGTGGTAAGTTTGTTAATGTACATACATATTTGTAGTCATGCTGAGGTAATTTTGCATAGTGATTAGTGTTTAGTGATTGAATTTTGTTATGTTATCCTAATTTGAAAATGTGTAATTGGTTGATTGATAAATATCGAATGTCATTTTTACAGCAAATGTTGTAATTTCTTTAACAATGAATCGGTAAATTAGATCATGGATAATAATCATAACTACAGTGACGAATAAATAAGGATGTTACACAATAAATAAGCACATTTTATACCCTAATACATTTGCTATAGTTTATACACTTTCAAGAATATCCTTACCGCTGTATTAGTATTTAAAAAAACTTTTCTACGATTGCTAATTTCACTCTTAAGAAATCGATCATTTTCGTAGACGTTAAGTGAGCGGCGCATGTTTGAAAATGACTTCGACACAACGTTGACTTTATGACATGTAGCAAAGTACGGATGCTTTCCTGACTGTAAATATCTTGAAATTATACGTTCTTTAGAATTAATTTGGTCATGCGTTAATTTATTAACCAGAAAAGAATCACTGTTCATAGCTGAAAAAATATTTCCGCTGGATTTTGATTTAAACTAGACAACATAATAAAGATTTATTACTTCTCTTTTATCCAGTTGAAATGAGATCAGCCCATCCATAGCTTGAATACTTTTCATCACTTTACTTTTCAATCACCTAACTATTCTGAATACTTTTCATGTTTATTATTCGATAATTATGACATGTTAAATCACAAAAATATAACCACATTATGACTTGTACTCGATTTGTTAATCTGAAAAAATAGTGAATATTTTGAAAGTCGCCATTTTTTCTTTGAACTCATTTTCACATCCTATGACATTTTAATATATTAAGAAGGCTAGTTTGCGAAAATCTATTCAGTTTGTAACAAATTAAGGAATAGATATGAGATAATCCTATGACATGTAATTGAACTAATTACCAAAGATTATCTGTTGTAGGATTAGGCTTTCGTAATTTATAGAACTACGATTTATTGTGGTTCGTATGAAAACATGTCTTGAGGAACCATAATAAAAGTAACCTTTGATGTTACCTTACTCCCCCTTATTCTACATAGAAAACTTTTTAATCGGTTATTGATCATACTACTCAGCGTTCTTCATTCTGATTTGATTTACTTCATAGTATCATTAGTTTTCTTAGGACTACTGATTATATCACAAACAAAGATAATAATATTGAACTAACCAAGATAGACAAAAATATTCCCTTCAGGTTGAATTCATAGTTTAAATATTGATTAATACCTGTTTACGGTCAAAACATTTGAAAGGATATCGAAAACGTCTGCACTTTCACCAATCACTGACTTTTCTATCCAATTATTAAGGGTTTGCTAATTCTTTTTTTCACAGCTAAATATTTTAACGATACATAGTTGATTTATCTTAGTCTACCATACTACTATCTCATACTTGACATTCCTTTTGAAGTGAATAAATCTCGAGACTGATAAAAGGATGAATTTTCAAGGAGACATATATTCATACTATAAAATATCGAAAGTATCATTTATTATTGGTGATCATGGTTTTCTATTTATTTAACTTTGTCTAACCATCTTTTTACTGAACATAATCTATTTAAGTTGTCGAATAAAAATTATTCTAAAGACAATGTTAACTTAGTGTTCCTTTATTATATCATGCTTAGTTTGTTATTTCTGTCTGTATATTTGAAGGCCATTGAAAATTTTATATCAGTTTACAAGTAGGTGAAAGGGATAAGTTGGTAAGCATTGTAAAAGAAAAGGCCAGTGAATTTAATTTCAATGGACAAATGTTATAAAAAATAAAAGATAATAACAACTTTTTCAACAAAATATGACTGATAAATAGAAAACGGTGATTATATTTCATGATTCTTTTTTAATATTTATCTAACTTTCGAACCGACTCTAGATAATTTTTTTTTCATTAAATGTACTGCAATAAATCAACTGATTAATGTTCCGTAACAAAATAATAGTACAAAGTATAAATAACTTTTGTATGATTGTATGCATTTCTCCATATTTCTATGCTTATTGATCTATTCATATTGAAACAAGGCATATAACCGGACAATATTGTTTTCAACGAGATCTTTATCAGGGTTTACTTAATATATATATATATATATATAAATATTAAAACGTTAAACCGATCAATGATCATAGTGAAATAGATTCCTTAAACTACAATTTCACGGAAATTTGGCTAGCAGTGTCTTGCATGACAGATTAGCGAAGACAATTAGTAGGACATTCTAAGCAATTATTCTGACGTTGACATTCTTTAGTCTACCAGAAAAATTTACTCGGATTGGCCCCTTTAATATGCATTTGTAAATTTATGGAGTTAGTCATATTGTATGCACTATCAGGCAACTTAACCAAGGAACAAGTGTAAACCTCCCAGGATGACTAGGAAATGGTCAAACATAAACAATACGCAGCTTTATCTTGGCACACCTGATTGACACTGACAGCATTATGAGGAAAATCGATAGGTCTAGCATTTTCATATGAATGTTCGCGTAAAGCCTGATGACGATCTAATTGAAGGCAATAGTATTCGCCTTTATGTTCTAACTTTCATATTGAGAATATTATCAATATTGGACAATCACAATAGATACAAAGTGTTATCAATATTTGTCCGATTTTGCAATTTTCAATTGTAACTGAAAGTAACCGTCTTGATGCCAAATTTAAGAAGTCATATCGCAAATACTTACAGCTTTAAAGTGAAGAAATGTCGATGTCAACTGATTAATAAGAGAGAACATTACACCGATAGACAGTCTATGTAGCTGAGAAGATCAATAGTCGTTTATAGAAATTGTTGAGGCATCTATTGATAGATAGTACCATAATTATCGATGTCTGAATCAGAAGGTGGGTGGATTCAACTATCTTCTAGAATTACGTACAACTTTTATCTATTTTATCTCCACTTTCTTTCTAAATTCATCAGCTATTCCACCTTACCATATAGGGTTCCTCTAAACGAAATTAGTTTTATACCAGATCACGAGATAATTTTTATTGATGAATCCAAGGAAGTGTATCATCTCATCATTCATTCATTGTACTTCAATAATTACTCGATAAATGTCTCGACTATTTTTTATAATTGTAATAATTCGATTACAGTATCGATTATAGTATATTTGATTGTGCGTGGATGCTTACTAGCTTATCACATTTGTCTAGCTCATTATTTATTACCTGATTATACATACTTAGTCAATGCTGGCTCGATCGCCTTCTCTTTCGCTTCGTTTTGTTTGTAATTTAATTAGACTCATAATTATCAATATCTCTATCGTACAAAGGCAATAAAAAATATTTTTAAAGACGACATCTAAGCAATACTAAAATGATGCCAAAACGTAATTTAGCCACTTGGATGATTGAGTTCCACACGAAAATCCAAAAGTCGTATACAATTCAGCTGACCAAACTTTTTGACTATAACTTTAAACAATGGTTTTGAATCTAGTCATGCTAACATGTCGAAATTTATTGTCAGCTCAGTTTATACTAATGAAGTGAAATACGAACACAGAATAATTTTAGGGAATAAAGTAGTTTGATACGCTGACTTCTTTACGTGTTTTTAAAGTCTGATCAAGTGTGCCGGGTTTATGTCGAACGAAATATAATTTTGGCTGGCTTTCATCAAACCGTGTCTTATATCGTGTGGGTCAAGTGACCGATCATTAATCAAAGTACAAGTGTACCGTGTAGCAGTTTGTTCATTTCTGCTTCACGGGTGCAAAAGTGGTTAGGATTGTGGTGGGTTACTGGTATTCAGTCCCAGATGACTGCGAAACATTGTTCTCATGGCATGGTTTAACTGCGCAAAAAAATTTGAAGTTAGGTACAATGTATCATGCAGCTGGTGAGTTTGGAAATCATCATCAACTAAGGTGACTGATACACATTTTAGGTATACATAACCCCTCCTACCTTTACGCTAGGTGTCAGCTGGTACACATGTAATTTAGGATAAAACCAGGGTTGTGTGATCCAAGATATGTGAACAGTCGATAAATTTATGTCATTTATGTTTATTCTTATCTACTGATACAAATATACAGTTATTATTTCAAATGTTCCGAAATTCGTCTCCTACACGTTTATGCCAGGTTATATCTTACTTATGAATAACTGATAACAAACGTTTGTTAAGCGACAAAAACTGAGATATCAATTTCCTTCGTATCACGCAAATTTTAACTGTCTATTTAATGTGATTTATTTACAAAGTTTATGTTTACGTACTTGACTTTAGACCATATTTTGTCAGGACCCATTACACTAATCAATTGTCCAAGATAATTTTGTTAAACTGAGATCTAAACTTCGAAATTGAATACTGTAAACCAATAAACTATAGTTAAGGAAAACTGTGTATTAAATCGGTCTGATAGTATCTTTTGAAGGAGTAAAAGTCAAATGGCAGTAATTACACCATGGTAAGTAAAAATATCAAAATCCATGTTTTGGTGATTCACTTCAAAAATATTCAAAATGTTGTAATAGAAAATGACCCCTTATACAACTACTATCAGAAGGACAGTATTCTTCTTTTCTTGTTAATATCTGTTCAATCAAAGTACAAATCAGAAGTGGGAAATTTTAAGTCAGAATGTCATTTACTACTACTAAAATAACATGGAACAAAGTGTAAAACAATCCTTGTTAAACTGTTTACATACTTTTGTCAGATAAATCGATATCGCCTGAAAAATACGGGATTCACTTTTCTGTAACTTCTATGATTGTTATGATCCAGACATTTTAGGAGAAATATCATGTCTTATTTTGTTGTTTAGAAAAAATAAAAACACTGGTATTTCGCTATTATATTGGCTCTAAACAAGACAATTTGACAGGTGTGTGTTTAGTTATTCAATCGATTAGATTGTGAAGTTGTTTAAGTGAACAATCCCATGTTAATACGACAGAA